CTAATTCTGCCGAATAAGGATTACAACATTTTTCTCAGTCATAGTACATGATATGAAAAATGTTTACCCTGAACATCTTCTACATTGGAGTGTATTTGCTGTTCTTGTTCATTATCAATTAATTTATTTAGCTTGCTGATTCACTTCATTAAGTTACTGTTTGCATTTTCGAATCGGCAAACTTCGACACATCTTCTTCAACTAGTTCATTGAATTCATTTAACAAGTTCCTACTTAAAAATAGAATTTTTATTCTAAACATTTTAAATTTTCGTTTATACATACTGTATTAAATTAGTCAGCATTTCGAAAAATCATGTCGTTTCAGGATACATGACTTCGTTGTAATACAGATCATAACTTGAAGTTTCATCTGACAAAAAGTACGCTTGTTTAAACCTTTGCTAGACTCGATCTTAGTTTTGTTATCATGAAATTTTGAAGAGAAAGAAATAGAACTATCGAACTAGTCGATAGTAATTTATACATCATTTATCTTTAAAACCTTTTTTTTTCTTCTATAGAATGTTTTCAAATTTGGTGAACAAAGCTTCAAAATTTGCTATGGAAGGTGTTAAAAATCTTGTTGTAAAACAATATGTAAATATATATTCTTTTGATTGATATTTATATTATTTATATTGTTTTAGAAATTACCAGTAACCAAAATAGTTGATAATCTAATGGAATGTCGTTCATCACCTGACACAGATGATTATCGTTACTTTGATCCAAAACTACGATCAACGGACAAGTAAATACAAAATTTTTTCTTCAAACAAAATAATAATTCGTTTGAGAAAATAAAGGATAGAAACGAATCATTGATGCATTACCATTGAAAATAATTTTTAAGAAAATACAAAACATTCTTCGTTTTGATGTTTAGTGCAAATGTTGTTCGTAATCGACAAGGATTTAATGATGCTATTGTATTTATGATTGGTGGTGGTAATTATATTGAATATCAAAATCTACAAGATTATGCTAAGACACGATCAACAATGACAACAAAACGAATTATCTATGGATGTACAGAACTCGTGAATGCTTCTCAATTTCTTGAACAAGTAATTAAATAATATCTTTTGTTTGTAATTACTTATTTATTTTTTTTAAATTCTAGCTTGCAAGCTTGGGTCAATAATATTTATCCTTATTAGAGTTTTATTTTATTTTTTGGTTTATTGTTGTTAATAAATTATTATCACTGTTTTCACTCTATATGTATTTTTTTTGCTTGATTGTTAAAATTTTATTTGTAGATTAAGTCTTTGTTTATTTTATTTATCGAATAATGGTATGTAATCAATATGATTATTCTTTATTATTATTCAACGTTTTGTTTTTGTTTTATTATTTTAGTCGAAGAATTTCAAAGAAGAAGAAATTGATAGTAAGTTATAAAATATTATTATAATTATTATTATTGATTTATCAATAGATTTTCGTCAATGTTTTCAATTATTTGCTCCACAAGGCTATGTTGATACACCAGATAAACTGTGCTTTATAATGCGATCATTGAGTATGGCACCGACCATTGCTGAACTTAAACGTTACTTCACTAAATATAAAAAAGGTATATAACAATAACCAAGATTAGTACAATTTTCTCAATTATGATAACTATTCACTAGATGCCGGTGTTGTTGAATTTGATGATTTTCTTAAAATTGTTTTGGAACATCGATCAAATGAAGATGCACCAAATGAAATCTTAGCAGCATTTCAACATTATGATACACAAAGACTTGGTTATGTTGATGCTAAACAATTAAGATATATTTTAACTAATACTGGCGAAAAATTGACCGATAGAGATGGTAAGTGAAAAGAAAAAAAAACAAATTAAAGATCATGTATTAATATTTCGTTTTCTTTTACTCTCTTTAGTCGATCTTATATTACGTGAATTAAATGTTGAATCTGATGGTCGTGTTTTTTATGATAATCTTGTTCATATGCTAACACAACCATTAGCTGGACGACGTTAAATAAGCAAATTTTATATTCTGACAAATATATAAACACATTCCACTCAAATCAAATACTTCATGTACTAATACTAGAAGCAATGTTCTCAGAATTACTAATAAAATATTTCAATTTTCTTTTTACTTTTTCATAGTTTTGAAATGTTGTCTTATCATGAATTGAATTTTATTAGAAATATGAAAAGAAAAAATACAAACGCACGGAACTAAATATTCCTTTGAAAGTCTTTTCTCAATATCGTTTTCAATTTGCAAAGTTTGTTTTTTTCAAAACAATTCAGCACTTTTCTTGTAGCTTGGTACAAATATAATAGTATGAAAGTGTGTAACTAAAGCTGCTGTTTCTCAAGGGGCACGCAGTAGTTTGTTTCCACCACGTAAAACATTGCTTGTTTGGCACAATATACCAGAATAAAGAGTCCTATTCAAAATCTAGCGTTTCAGTCTGATGCGTCAGCCATTTTTCCTGAGATTGAAATAAAGTTGAGCTATATCGGAGCATTTTTTTTGTTGTGTTGGTTGATGCAAATTTTTTTGAGAAAGGAGCCTTTTCAACTGATCAATCACTGTTGTGTTTGAACACTTTAGATAAGATAGACCTCAATGATACATGCAAAAAATTCAAAAAGATAAGCCTTCATCGGCTTTCTATCAAATAGTACAGACATTTTACTGGAGTTTTAGTCTATGACACGACATATACCAATAAATCAAATGGCACTATTTAGACATGCAATTTCATCCATATATTGGCATTCTTATGACTATGACATCCTGAAGATTGCAACTCAGAAGAATGTTTCCTTCTAGAAATATTAAAGTCTCAAAAAACAAAAAGTTTTAGCATCTTTCGTAGAATATGCTTAGGTTTGATGACGTTAATATCTCAAGAAAGAAACATTCTTTTCCATTGAAATTTTCATGACATACTACTTATGATTACGAATAGATCTATCTGTGGGAGAAATACTAGGTCTAAATACAGTCATGGTGTGGTTCTGGAATTCAACTAAAAAATGATTTGCAGAATACTTATTAATAAGAGACATATAAATCAAATGTAGCCGAAAATCAATTCATTCGTTGGAACAACTGACCTATCTAATGACATATTCTTATTACGTTTTTGTCAATTCTCCATCAAAGATCATGGTATCTTGCAATCAGAAGGATCTATGCAACAATAGACAGAAAATAGAATTCATCGAAATCAATGATGCATTGTTATTGAAGTTTGCAATTTTTAATCGTATTAAATAATGAAGATGACTTATATTGAGTGCCAATATCACTTTACACTTATAAGACGTTCGAATGATGCCGAGTAGATTTTGACATAGCATTGATATATTGGTCAAGTGCATTGAAATTAGCTGTTGCATCTATTGACTAGTGATATTGCAATTCGTCTTCGTCAAAATTAGACTTTTGAGCGATACGTACATATATAATAACATGCATCCGGCCATCTTAAAATACTAATTTGAATAGTTTTACTTTTCCAACCATATGCACTAAGAACAAGATCGGTTAACTAAGAAATTGAACGATAATCGATACTAAGTGAAATATGGACTGGAAATGTATACGCATAATAGCACTCAGCAGAAATGACATTCAGATCAATATGCAACCTGTATATTAACATGTAATACGAAGCTTTGAATGTTATTATCATATTAGAATTTGAACTATATCATTCGATGGATCTGTTGTAAAAGATTATCTTTAAAAAATACGAAACAAAATTCAATGACAACTAATCATGTAATAGGATCACCCCTAAAAAGGTTCTAACTATTTAGTTCATATAATAGTGGTTAATTAATGTACGACACCGATATACTTTTACATGTATATATGTTATGACCAAAACATCTGAATAAAATAATTTCTCAATATAGTAAAGTAGAAAACACCTTAGCAGTCAAACAATTTAGTTTACATAAAATCAGTCTATACAGAAGAACTAAGAAATATCACAATAATGGAATGGTTTAAATTTCATACTCGTCAATCGGCAAATGACTATAAAGGAAGATGATTCTTACAACAATGTCCATGTAAAAAAAGAAAATAGTATTTTCTTTTTGTTCAACTGTATGTCATTCTAAATTAGGATCGTATAAAAATATCATTCAATAAATTCAAATAAACACCCACACTTTTCCAATTCTGCCCGAACAAATCTAAAATATGGTCGATTTTAGTTTTGATTGCAACATCTATATTATTGAAATATATCTCGAATTATTTTCATTAGAACAATTAAATTATAGAGACTATACATAACATGTATTTTGTAGAGTTAGCTTTATTGGTTTTCCTCTTTTTTCTCATTTTAAGCGATAATGAAAATAAGAAGAAAAATAGGGTTTGTCTAAATAAAAACATGAGAAAGAAAACTCATTTAAATAAGAATGAGATCGGGTACCAAAAAATGATGCTAGACAATTTTTTGAAACGGTACATTTATTTGGTAATTGCTTGAAATAAAGTTAATAAAATGAGGAGGCAAAACTAAAGAATTTACTGCTCAACTTTCCTCAACATTGTTCACCAGGTATCGGCAGTAATCATTGGATCTCTCAACAATATATCATCTGACGATATTATATTTATTGATTAATTGAACTGCATTTTTTTCTTAAACTCAGAATCGTTTACCAACGAAAAGAGAAAGCAAAGCTAACTAACACTCTCTTTGCACATCAGCACTTGTTTAGGAAGCTTGTTCATCATCAATTGTTCCTTTTTACTAAGAGCTATGACTCTTCAGTGTCAGATGATACTTACAAATGTTCGAGAATTTATTATTTAAAACGATATCTAGTGAAAAACACCGCTCTAACTCATTTTTCGAAAGACTGAGAAAATACTACTATTCATACAATTACTCTGTAGCTAATCATATAAATTATTATTTGTGATTAGTTTTATTTCTTATATAATGATACAAAGAAAAGCCTAGTTTCATACACTTTATAATAAAATAAATTTCAGCTATTTTGTTGTTGATTTGAATGTAATGGTCACTTCTAAATATCGTTCATTTTCTTCCAAACTGAACCAACTTTTTCCATCACAATTAGGCAAACGGTTTCTTAAATTAATTTTTTCTGACTCTCCAAACTCAAGTACCCTTAAGTTGACATGAAAATATTTGATATTATTCAATAATCTATGCCACATATTCTCATTATAATAGTTGTCGTCCTTAGCATTGAAATCACCTTGTAATCGAAGAGATTGTAAGTTTGGCGCGATTTCTTTGAACGCTTCAATTTGAATAAAACGTGATCGATCAAGACGTAGGTTTGCTTGTTTAAGATGAATTAGAACAACATTTTTATATGAAATCACATAGGACGCATCCATCATTGTCTGAAGTGAATATAATTGAGGTGTAAACGATAGGAGAGAGAATAAATCCATGGAACAGATAGAACTGATGTTAAGGTATTTTAACAATCGATTTATCGACCATTTGGCACTTATCATATTGTAATTAGACATATTGAAAACGAATGAACATTTTTGTAAAGCGGATCTTCCACTGAAGATATACGTCGTCAATGGTTTCAAATTATCAATATTGGGATCAGATTTTCCGGCATACTTAATACGAATATGTTTGAGAGAAGGTATTTGTTCGAGTGCAAAAATTACAAATTGAATATTAGTATAAAGTTTTGATTTTCTTAAATAAATGGATACAGATTGAAGACGAACGAGATATTGGGCATGCCACCGTAGAAATTGAATAAGACAATTAGCTTTTCGACGTCCTACAGAAATTGAATAGATATTTTGTAGATTAATATGTAACCAAGTCGGTTCAGGTAAACGTTCATTTGATTCATTTTGTCTGATTCGAATGTGTAATTGCAAATGTGGTGAATGAAGTAGAGAATTAAAAAATACATTTAGGCAAGAAAATGATCGAACAACATCATGTCCTTCCAGAAATGTAAATGTGTATAACCATATTTCACGTGGTAAATTTTCTGCTTGTGATACCATGTTGTTTTCGAACGTGCCAAATAAAACTCTGAATCAAGGAAAGAAAATGGCTTTTTTTTATTCCAGACAACAGTTATGACTCATGATGTAATTGCACAAGCCCCAAAAAAAGGGCGACTTGATGCAATACAAAAGTGATTCAAAATCTTATTTCGTCATTTCTACCGCTATTTCCTATTTGCAAATATGAAGAAAAGCAAGTATAAATATAATAAAATTTTTTTAAATTTTCGGTTGATTATAAGATTAACAATCTTTTTTTTTAGTTCTCTGCAAGACAATTAAATTCGATAATTAACTCTTAAAAATTTGATTAATTGGAGTACACAGAGATTGTTAATGGCGGATTGATCTAATAGATCAATGCTAAAATCTTTTTCTGTATTTTCCAAACAACAACTATGTATAGATGAACGAACTAGGAGAAAACCTAGGGGCATTAAAAAAAAAGACATTATGCGATGGAAAATACCTATACTATATTAAGAGAAGAAAAGACATAGATGCATACTGTATATATCATCTATGCACCATAGCAGAATAGAAGAAAGAAAAGGAAAATGCCACATATAACTGATTCACACTATCACAAAAATAATAAATCACTTTAATAATTTTAATTACGAGTTGTTTTATTTTAAAAACAGTGACTACAATTTGCAGAGAACGTGAACGTTTAGCCAGAAAATATTTTTCCTATAGCTAACATTGGGGTGATATCAGGGTTGCCAGATCTTCCAAATTAGGAAGAAAAATTCCGAATTCTTCCTTTTTTCCGATCGCTTTCCGAGTATCTGAATCCTTTCGAATCTTAAGTTTTTTCCGATTTTTTTCAGAATCGTGATATTTTTCTATATTTTCATTTCATAATGATCTTAGTGTACATTTTACTAGATATTGTTGCGCCATTATTGTTTTCTGTTTATCGTCTGCTATTCTACTGTATTGAGGTGCACAGATTATTATATACACTCGCTTCTATCTAAAACTTCTTTGAATCAGATCAAATTTCATTAGATTAGATAATATTTTCTAAAATGAACTAAATTTTTGTTTTAAAGAAAGATAGAGTTTCACTTAATAATTCTTACGGAAAGTATATCTAATATCGTTATCAAAATAGAAGAGCCCTAAGTATTTTTTTGAATAACTTTTGATAAGAATGAGATAGAGAGCTGCGATTTTCATCATTCGAAAGATGTTTTTTTATAGGCATCTTTTGATCAACATTTTTTCTTTGTGTATTTTTATCAATTTTCAAAATAATCTCAATTCGAATTATATAAAAATATAGCTCGAATCACACTTTTTTCACTATAAAATGATCACAATTTTCATTATCTCTCAACCACTTATTGTATGTAGATTTAAAAAAAACAAATGTTAACTTCAAAACGCAAAGAGGGTGATACGAGCTACATTTTCACATCATTCGGGTTGAAGTTATTGTGAAAATTGATGAAAATGCGCAAAGAAAAAGTGTTGACCAAAAGATGCCTATAAAAAACATCTTTCGAATAGTGAAAACCGCAGCTCTCTCCCAGGTGATTCGATCCGACTGTCGGATTACGTCGGATTATATCGGAAAAATTACCGGATTTTAACGGATCCGAGGGGAACTCGTCGGAAGTTGTCGGCGTCCTAGCCACAGGATTCCGACAGGAGGTTCCGGATGTCGGAATAATCAGGATCCTGCGAAATCCCTGAAACTCCGACACTTTCCGACATCCAGAACCACTTGTCGGAATCCTGTGGTTAGGATTCCGACAAATTCCGGCGAATTTCTATCGGATTCGACAGGGTGAATTCGACCTGGGCTATCTCGTTCCTATCAAAAGTTATTCAAAAAAATACTCGGGGCTCTTCTATTTTGAAATCGATATTAGTCACATGAATCATGTATGTTATGATTATGGGAATAGAAATGATATAGAATTATTTGCAGCTGAATTACAAATCAGAAAGAATGCACGTAATTATTCCTTGTACATCTATAAATTCATTTTACTTCAAGAAGATCTGTTAAAGATAATAACATCCTATGGTAATCTTGATAAAGATAAACTTTACTTTTTTTATACGAGTATTTTAAATTGCACACATGTAGATACTTTTTATTGCTTTTTTTTCATTAATTACATTTTTTTGAAAATAATGGTTTATAATAACGAATAAATTGCCATGTATGTTCTTCACTATGAATGAATTGTGTACGAGTTAGAGAGCTGCACCGGATCTGTTGGATCGGAGAAAGAATCGCGAATCATTATATCAGCTACAATAGTGAACACTTATGCTAACACAAATTTTGTAGAGAAATATTTGCTCTTTCAGTCGATGTAATCGGAAATATAGAAAACCTTGTATAATCAAGATTTTTAGAAAAAAACAGGTCCGGTTTCAGACTTGGATCTGGTCGGGCCCAAACGTCTGAATCCGAACTTTTTTTCTAAAAGTCTTCTTTATTAAAGGATGTTTTATATATCTGATTGCATCGACTGAAATAGCAAACATTTCTCTACAAAATCCGTATTCCAACAATGTTTCAGCGTTGGAAATGATAGAATGGTTCGCGATTCTTTGTCTGGGCTCAGCAGATCCTGTGCAGCTCTCCAGTACGAATAAATGATAAGCAGCAATAAACAACATATTTTCGTAATACAAGCCTCAACATTTACAACAAAATGTTTGATATTGTTTTCCGATTTTCTTCCGAGTTGACAGAAAATGTTTTCCGAATTTTTTCAAAATTTTCCGGAATATCACTGACAAAAATCCGATTTCTAAATTTTTGATCTGGCAACCCTGCTTATAATATATGTTGATTTGCTTTGAACATGTAAGCAAATAAAGAGCGATAAAGATGCTGTCCGCTGCCGAAGCCTATATCCATCGTATTCCTCTGATGAACTTAAATTGCAATAAAAAACAAACTAGTAGAAACGAAAGAAAAAAAAATCATTTAATTACAATAACAGATATATATATATTTTTGTAATTTTTGGTCATTTTCTCATTATTATGTTGTGTGGAACAAAAATAAAAATATGCAGTCGACATCTGCTCCATTACTTTATGACATTTGTTCTCTCGCGTCTATAGATGAAAATAATGTTTCTGTTACTTCTTTCTCAAGTATCTCTACTGTTATCATTACTTCATCTCATATATTTAATCAATTGCAGTGATTCTTACTAAAAGAAAAACAACATTTTTGTACTTCAAACAATGAATCAATAAAAGTCTTGATGTCCTAGTAGCGAACATGTAGTTATCCGGATGTTCTGAATGAACAAGATGAATCCGAACGGATACATAGTTTCATGACAGCTATTTGAAATAATGTCTTACAATAAAAAATGGAGTAGATGTTTAGGAGAATATTTATTCTGTCGCAACCGCTATTTCGGATAGTGAGTGAGCAGGAAAGTTTTTTTTTAAAGTTGTTTGTTGGTTAATAGTTGTTCAGTTTTTATTGAATTATTGCATCAATTTCCAGCCTTCAAGGAAAGTATTGAGTATATTGGCGCCGACGCGTATGATTTCGGCAGCGTTGTCAACATTATTAGTGATTGATTGTGGAACAGTCATAGCGTTACTTGATGTTGGCAAGCAGATAGGCGTGGGATACTGAGTAACCATTGTCAAGGGTCGCTGCAATAGTGGTAGCGGTGGCGGTGGCTCCTGCAAGTTAAAAGAAAATGGAGCTACGGTTAAGTCGACATGGCCACGGTCTCGTTTGTGTTGAGCAAGACTGATTTCTGTGAGAAACGTTTTTCGACATAAGCTACAGGTAAAATCAGATTCTTGATGATTAGCATTTCTTTGATGCTGCAGCTGATCAGCGGAAAATAAAAAACCTAGAGAGCACACTGGACATTTGAACAAATGATTGTAACTTCTTTGGTGTGCCAATAGAGCCTGTTCGGTATCGAATTCATCGTCGCATTGAGGACAATCAAAAACAAATTTCAAATCCAACTGTAACGCATGCTGGGGACTTGAGTATGCCGAAGCTGTTGGAGAAGGTAAAAAATCCATGTGATTACAGGCTTTCTTATGCTTAGTTAGACTCGAGTGCGTCTCAAACGTCTTTTGACATTGTGAGCATTTATAGGATTTTTTATGATGTTTTTCATCCTGTTGATGCTGTTTTAGATCGGCTATAGTAAAGAAACCAGAGTCACACATAGGGCACTCATGTAAATGTTGCTTGACTTCTTGATGTTGTTGCATTGCACGCTCGCTATCAAATTCTTTTGAACATTGAAAGCAGATAAATGTTCGTGCTGGTAAACTATCATTTATTTTTGAATAATTCATCAGTGACGAAACAGTTTGGGCACTTAACTGATTTTTATTATTACCACTATTACGTGTTTGTGTCAACGGTGGCTGTGCCTGCTGTTTGGTAAACATATTCCAGTTGTAATGCGCATTAACAATGGACTTGAACGCATTTATTGATTCTGATTTGTTGCTTATGAGGATAATGTCAAAGCGAGCCTGATGACGCAAATCGCTAAGCTTGCCTAAAAACTCCATAGCACCCGAAATCAGCACAATAGTTGCGGCGGACGATGTGCGCGTTCGAAACGGTCGAGATCGAGCAGAATTTGTAGATGAACACTGTCTGGCTTCTGGCCAGGTACGTGGGCGATGCGCACGTTGGCGTGTGATAGGCTACGCTGATTTTCCTTTTTTATCTTGGCAATATCACAGTAACAGGTGAAACCAATTTCGCGCAAGTTAGGCTCAGTGATAACCTTTTGGCGGATGCGCTGAACAATATCAAAAGGCTTTTGATTATCTGAAATAGGCACATTTTCGATGTCCCAGAACACACTCACAAGACTTTGTGACCGTGATTTTTGTATAATGTTGACAGAAATCGACTCTGGCGGTGCTGGAAGTAACAGCGGAGGTATATTATTGGTTGTCTTTGCTACAGAGGGATGTCGATATTTGCAGTTCACATTTCTACACGTAGCGGACCATTTGAAACATGTGTTTAGTTGATTGGCAGCCGTCGAACAGTGACGAAATTTACAGTTGTTACCTTTTTTACAGTTGCCATTGAGGAAATACATGCAATCAGTAAGTGATTGCATTTGTTCATCGGTGATGCCAGATATAGCTGTCATTGTTTGCAAAGTTTTCTAAAAGTGCCAACGTTAAACTCTTTTCATTACTTTCGTATATTCTTTTGCAGACACTCGCTTATCAAATATATACTGCGCAATAGTCTGCTAGCTGACGAGAATGTTTTTTTCCACATGACTTTGCGTTCTGTTAATAGGGGTATCGCTTGTTCTACATAAAGATAAGGCAACAAAGTCACAATCTGAGGTTTGGTTTCAAATCGTAACTATTGTCAAAGTTATTAGACTTCTACATTTTATTATAGTCTGGTTTCTGATAAAAACTGCTTATCTGCTTGTCAGCACTAATTATAGTGTACGACAACTAGATAAGTAATGCATAAAGAACTGTATGAAATATGTTTGATTTTTAACGTAGGAGATACATAGTTGCAGTGAACTACTGTTATACAGTTATGTAGTGTCATGCGTTTACATTATATCATAACTCTTTGGGATTTCTTGAAGTTTATTATGCTTGAATAACATGAGAAAATTACAATTAGCCGAGACAAAATTAGATCACTAGTGATTATTTATCGTTGGTGGATATGCTAATGTACGCATTGAAAACTTTACCTGTATAAAATAGATTACATGTAAACGTTTATGCAAATCTGTTTTCAAAGATTCCTACTATTATTGTTCATCTTCAAGATTGAGAATTTTTTCAATGAAGAATGCGATATTAACGATAGCCTTTTTAAAGGTTTTCATGAAGTGCTAGGCTTGAATATCAGTTCTTGAACTATAACTTCAGAGTTATTAGTACAAATGTTTGAATAGTTTTTTATTACATTGTATGCAATGATACGTTTGGTATTATTACTTGGTTCAGTTGTACAGTGTATCGAATCACATAATCTTTATAAATTTTATTCGATACTGTCAATGTCATATGAAGTCCTATCATGTTTGATATACTGTTTTGTAGTCAAACTTTTATCTCAAACAGCCCTATTTCGGTAATATGGTTTTTAATGTGATAACTTGAAATGTTTGTCTATGTGTTGTCGGACTTTTATTTTATAGAAATGCATTGTTACTCATGATACAAATACAAATATTCATTTCGTGTGTTTGTGACATAATTCATTGTTTTCTCATGATTAACAATGTTGTCGAGATATGAGTTCTTTAGTAGACTAAAATCATATTAGGTAATAAAAAAACAACGTATAGAATTATTTGTTTTCCAAAACATTCATTATTGAGATCTAGAACTATTTATGCATTTTTTCAGTCTAAGAATTGTATTTGAGCCGATACATCCTAAAAACCTTGTTAGTTACAAATCTAGTATAGATAAAATTTGATTTGATCAACCTGAAAAATTTCTATTTTTATTTAGCTTTCCTAATAATATGTTTATAATGAAATGGAAAGAAAAATGTTCATTTTTATTTATAAGATTTATGAATAAAATTTCTTGTTTTCTTTGGCCATATCAACTAATAATTGTGTTGGTGTAAATCGATCACCATATTTACTACGATGATTATTCATCAAGTCAACTATTTTTGAAACGCCATATGTATCCATAAAACGGAATGGACCTGAAAAAAAAATTCAACAAAAATAAACATAGAAAATATAAGAATTATATTGTTTACCGCCTTTCATTGGAGGAAATCCAAGACCGAATACTGCACCAATATCACCATCAGTCTAAAAATGAATATTTACAGTCTAATTTATTCTTAAGATATTTTTTTAATGCATACGGGAGATGTAATAATTTTTTCTTCAAGACATCGTGCTGCTTCATTTAAAAATCGAAGACCTGTACGCCATTGAATATTTTCCATTGTTACTCTAAATATTCAATTCAATGAACACATTATTATTATTATTATTATTATTCATTTTAAGAAAGAATCATTTCAGTTGCAGTATATGACAAAATGTTGAGAAAGTCTCAAATTATAAAATATTCAAAAACTTAGGATTTTCAGTCGGTTATCCGTAGAATTCAAATAACAAGAAAACCTAAATTTAAATTTCCGTTGGAAACTTGTGAAATCTTTTCGAAAAATCCAAACAGGATTTCAGTTGCTATCGAATTTTGACTTCTGATGACACTTGACAAAGACATGTTTTTTGTATAATTTCATTAAATGATACAGGATATTTACTTTTCTTTAGCTTCTTTGGAATAATTTTTCATTATTTCAATAAATTTCGGATTTATTTCACGATCACCACCTTTAACACCCGCTTGATAAATATATAAACCTTGTCCTGTTTTTCTTCCAAGTAAATTATTGGTGACAAGTTCTCGAAATAATTGTGGCATTGATGGATCAGCAAGACGTTGACCAAAAATAGCGTGCATATCATGTGCAATATGAGAAGCAACATCAATACCAACTTCATCAAATAATGTTGCTGAACCAACAGGAAAACCAAATTTTTTTGTTGCTTTATCAATATCTTTTGGTGTAGCACCTTCTTGAAGAAGATTAAATACTTCAGAACCAGAAAACATTAATAAACGTGTTGTGTAAAAACCTGGACCATCACCAACAACGATAACAACTTTGCCTTGTTTAATACCAACACTAACAGCTGAACGTACTGTATCATCTGATGTTTGTTTAGCTCGAACAATTTCTAATAATTCCATTTTATCTACGGGTGAAAAATAATGCATACCAATAACCTAAAACATAAATTAAAAAAAAAAAAAACAATCTAATCTCTGTTCTTTTTTCTTTCGATTTAGATATTGATATATACTTTTTCTGGACGTCGACTTTTAGTAGCTATTTGATGGATAGGTAATGCTGATGTATTTGAAGCAAATACACAATGTTCTGGAATACGTTGTTCAAGTTCAGCAAGAACATTTTGTTTTAATTTAAGATCTTCAAATACAGCTTCAATAACCATATCACATTTTTCAAAATTATCAAATGTTGTTTGACATTGTAAATTGGATAATATATTATCATATTGAGCACTAGATAAAATTTAATAAAATAAAATAATATTTATCAAGATAAATAAAAGCTTTTTCTTTTTTACTTTGTAATTCTTTTTCGTTTAACAGAGTCTTGATAACCTTTAGTAATTTGTGAATAACCACGTGAAACTGCTTTAGATGTCACATCACGTAATATAACATTATAACCTTTATCAATAGATACATGTGCAATACCTGCACCCATGAGGCCGGCACCAACAATAGCTATATTTCTGGAATAGTTTTTATTAAAAAAAAAATAAGATATGAATTTCATTTTTATACACTCACTTTACTTCTCTTTCTGGTTTTCCATATTTATTTTTCTTACATTCAGTACGTCCATGAAATAGACTAATTAATGCTTTCGATTCAGTTGTCATACCAAGATCAGCAAAACCCTAAAATTGATAATTATATAGTTTTGTTTAACAAAAAAAATCAATTATTCATTATCATTTATGAGTTACGAATTCATTCAAAAATACTATCAGTACAAAACAATATAATTACTGTTACTAATATAAAGACGTGTTTTATAAATCAATTCAAGTCGATGCTATATGTAATTAGATTCATAGTATCCTATCGATTTTTAGATTGTCTATGAATTTGTAATTTTCTTTTTTTGGTAATATATCAAAATATGCAGTGTGAGAATATCAAGGTTAATTATCTTACAAAAAAAAATCGAGTTCATGATAGATACTGATACATCTTGGTTGAATTCGATAATAGTGTTGAAGATCTTAACAAGGCTTTGATAAATCTATGGTAGGTCTTAGTAAAATCCTAAAGACGATAATTCATTCTGATAAACGTTTTATTTCGATGTAAAATTGCTTTGTAATTCATTAATGTTATAGATTAAATAAAAAAACAAAAATACTCACTTCTGCTTCAGCATTATATCCCACTTTTGAACCACTTTCTAAAGTTTGTTTAATAACCTAATAAAGAAAAATTTTCTTGTTTTTCATTTTTACATCTTTATTATAAATAAAATATAATGCATACATCTAAAATTTTTAATGGTGCAGGATAGAGACCTTGTGTTTGTGACATAACTTTCTTTTGAGCTTGTTGAAAAATATAATTTCGTACATATGAACTTGACATTATTTTGGATTTGATATCTATAATAATTATATATTAAATATTGAAGAAAATAAATGTCTTACTTTCTACTAAACCAGGTTCCTTCTTAGCAGGTTTTTGCACAGTTAACTCTCTAAAACAAAATAGAATAATCAAGAATTATTTTAATCATGTTCGATCAAAAGAAACCTAACAACGGCCAAACGTCTACACAGAATAGAAGCCGATTTGGATATACTCCTGTTATGCGCAGGTCACAAACGGAACTTAACAGAAATAGGGACCAGTTCTTGACGGAAAAATGAATTAAACCAAGTCTCTTTCTTGAAGAGACTTTCTTTACAACTTTTAAATTTTATTTACAGAAGTTAGTCTAATTGAGTTCTTTATATATGCAAAGTTGCAGATCAAAAGTCGAACGTTCAGTCAACCAAAATCCTTTGAAATCGGAAGAACTTCTCTGGTGAATGACTGCGTTGTTCGACACGTGTCTACAAAGTACTGTGTGCAAGACTCATTACTGTCAGTCAAGCATGGGCTCTAAACAAGTCACTAACAATTATTTGTCTCGAACCATCCGTTTGATAGCATACTGAGTACGTTGTCACATACACCTGTTCTTGCAGTTAGTTAGTGTGTGTATGAGACGTGCAAGAACTCTATATCAAGATAGCCTTCTGCCCAGAGCTACAGCCAGCTCGAGTTGTAGAGAAAAGATAATTCTTCTAATTGTTAGAAAAAAAAAACTTGTCTACAACATCCCCACGATTATGTTATCATAAAAAACGAATATACTTTGCTTTTTGCACAGCAACTGATCGAAGATAATCCATATTTTTTTCTTCGATTGGTTGTAAACCTGGTCCAATGGGCTCAACAATATCATCAACTAAACCCATTGATTTCGCTTTTTTTGCTTTGATTTCTTTACCAGTTAAAATAACATCAAGTGCATCAGGTAATGAAAGTTTTTGTACTAATCTTTGTGTACCACCAGCACCAGGTAATAAACCTAATTTAACTTCTGGTACACCAAATCCAGTTCGTTTATCATTCATTGCAATACGATAATGACATGCTAAGGCAACCTAAAAACAGAAAAAAGAAAAATAGAATAGTAAAAATGAATTTAATAAAACTAACTTCAAATCCACCACCAAGACATGAACCAGAAATAGCAGCAACAATTGGTTTTCTTGATTGTTCAATTTGATTCATAACATCTTGACCATGACGTGAAATTTTAAAAAGTTCATCACGATTTTTAGCTGATTCAAGCATACTGAATAAACAAATGTATAGAAAAAAAGAGTTAATAGAAAAAGAAAAGTGTCATTCGAACTTAATATCAGCTCCAGCAATGAATGAACCTGGTTTAGCTGACATAACCACAATGCCTTTAACTTTATCATCATTTTGTAATTGATTAAATAATGGAACAAATTCATCCATCATTCCTCTTGATAATGTATTAACCTTAATTTAATGAGAAAACTACAGTAAATGTTAGAAGAAAATAACTAGCTTTTTTTTTATACTTTAGAATTTTCTTGATTGAATAGTACAACAGCGATACCATCTTGATACTCGACTTTTAAGTTTTTTAATTGATTTAAATCAGCTACAAAAAAAAAGAAAAAGATTAACAGAAAGATTTTTATAAATTAGTCTACTAGGTTTATTTTGAGTTTGTTGTTGAACTGATGTGGAAGCAAGTCGAGTATATAGTTGTGTTGCAACTATTTTCAATAAGATAAGAATATATTAATTAAATATTTTGTTATTCAAATCTTACCTGGTGAACGTGTAAGATTTAATAACCGTTGCTGACGACAAACAAATGATGTGAATATAGCTGAAGCCATTGAACAAAAATATCTACAATTTAATTCAACCACAAACTGTTATCATTCAATGATGTCGAACAGAGCAAAGGTCTTTTTTTTATTGCTATGATTTACCATCTGATGAAGATTCCACCAATGATAATATGAATATTAATCAGTTGTGATAAAATGAATGTCTCAATTTAAATATGAAAGTAATAGGATTAAATATTAATTAGATTAGAATAGAAAAATTGTTAAAAATAATATATCATTAGCTTTGAATGACATCTATTGAAAGTACCGTGTGTTATCTACAATACACAGTATGTTTTAAGTTTTGGCATACAACGGTGACGATGTGGCGATGTGTTACGGTTAAATTCCGTGATGCGACTAAATGCTGAAGAAATCGATGGTGATATAGACTCTGATATTATTTACACATGGATTAATCTCAAGAAAAATGAATGATATAATAAAAAGAACAAGTCCTCATATTAACATGCTTCGACAGGTGACTCATCGTCACTGCTGTTTTGCTATTCATTTTGGCTTTTTTTACAAAGCATTTATAACTTGTAATACGCGATCAAAAAAAGGACTCTGTGATAAAAATACTTCTCAAAAGCTTTCATTTAAAGCAAGAAGATTACTTTAAAGAAATACATTTTTTATCAGATCTCGTTTATAGATATCAAAACTACAAATAGTTGTTGAAAAATTATCAATTTTTATGATATCAAAGTTTAAAAAAACATACTAAATTATTAGATGTCATTTCATATTATACTCAATATATATAATTCTATTTCAGATGAATAATTTCGATCCAGATAGAGTCTACTATAATTATACTTTCAATGGGAGAATAGTGAAACTTGAGTACTCTGAAGTAAGCGTGAATTACAATACTTCATTCGTACTTAGAATTATTCAAGTCTTGTTTTTTCTCCTCTTGTTATGTCTACATTTTGTTTTTTCTTAGTTATGTAATATTTCATATAGTTTTTTAATCATAAGAGTAGTTCAAAAATATTGAGACTGATATTATATAAAAACATCGAAAGCTTGCGTGTTTGCAAGTATATGATTATCTCCGCTATTTTTAGATGAAAAATAGAATTTACCTTACATATCTTTTGCAAATTGGTCATATTGATTTCGTGACAATTGAGAAGAGATTAAAGATTAACCGGTACCCGATACAATATTTAGCAATATTCAAAAAAGTAGGTTGCCTCATTGATGATAATTCTAACATTGCGATTGATGAAATATAAGTAATAACTGGTATGAGTTACGGCACTATTGAAAGAAATATTACTGCTCATCTTGAAAGTAAAAATATCGAAATTTCAACCAAAAACATGGTGATTAGATGATGTAGAGAGAGAGAGATGATGAATCGTGCTTTTCTCATAAGAAAATTGGTAGAAAACGGTCGAACTCTATCTGAACATCAATCACCATCATTATGACAACAAACTTCTTGCAACAATAGATTAACGTTTGGCAAATAGTTATATCATCAGATTTCATCATGTCAATGCCAAACCACATGCTCATGAAGACGTTTTGAACTATCTTGAATAGAAAGGCATGAAAATTATTCGACATCCATTGAATTCTTTGGATATAGTACGATATAACTTTTGGTTATTCAATTACATCAAATAGAGTTCATTCGAAACCATAATTATTAACTTGCTCGACAAGGATAACTATAGAAAAACATAATGATAAATGATTTGAATGATGTCAATTTTTTTAAATAACTAGAAACATTACATAGAACTTTTGATGAAATGAACATTTGCTTAAACTGAATTTGTTTACTTTTTTCTGACATCTTTAAGTAAATTAAAGAATTTTTTCGCGTTATTGAAGAAAAGTTCTGTTGGTAAAAATACTAATATATTTTGTAATAACGAGTGATCTGAAAGTTTTTAGACAAGATAATTGTTCACTTTTGACTTGCTGAAAAGTATTTCCGACGAGTCAAAAGCTATGAGTTAGGATGCTTCTTTTCGAATATCGGATTAGAAATTTAGTCTTAGTTGAGATCTTTATTTATATATCAACTTGTAGATCCGAAGCTACCTCACGAAATGCACTATTTGAAATTCTTTTTTTTTTGTCTTCAGTTAAGGCATCTCATTTTTGAAAAGTCGATAATCGCTTGACATTGAATTGAACTCTTGAAAAAAAATGTTTCTAGTTCTACTTGAGTAAAAGTTCCAGATTAGGTCAATATTACATTTGTAGAAAAGTGTACATTCAACAAAAAGACCAATTTCTATAATTTTTAATATATTCGAAAAGGAACTTATAGAACAAACTAAAATTTGTTGGCACATCATTAAAAATATTTTTTCAGGTCTTTTGAAACGTCGCTCACTACTCTTGAATATAAATAGACTCAACTATTGTCAGATTTTTTTAAAATGCCAGCTACCATTTTTTGAATAACTCTTCACCATTGATAGCTATCGAGTTCAGGTTTTAGCCATTCGATAGAGCGGCGCGGGGGGCGTCTATCAATATGAGACTGATTAGGACCAAAGAAGTTTTTTATAGTAGATATTTAATTGATAAGAGTTTTCGTTATCAATTTTCATTAGTTTTCATAGAGATCTAGGCTTGAATTACACCAAAATGTAGCTTGGAGGGTCCTGAATTTGCATTAAAATCTCAGAATTTTAACGATCTATCGTAATCAAGACAATGACAGAAAGAGCTGAAAATTTTATCAGAGATACAGTACCCTCCGAGCTACATTTTGGTGTAATTCAAGCCTATGTCTCTATGAAAACTCTTATCAATTAAATATCTACCATAAAAGCTTCTTTGGTCCTTATGAGTCTCCTATAAATAGACACCCCCCCCCCCCATACACCGCTCTATCGAATGGCTAAAACCTGAACTCGATAGCTATCAATGGTGAAGAGTTATTCAAAAAATGGTGGCTGCCATATTAAAAAAAATTCGACAATAGTTATTTAGTATGTATTACATTCAATGAAACAGCATAACGATGAAAAAAATAACAGCGTTATTCATGAAAACATGACTAAATTTTCAAACTATTCTTTTTCTACACTTGTTTCACATAATAATCAGAGAAAAACCATAATAAGTTCTTGTTTGAAAAGAACATAATCATATCTCTTTCATGAAATCTTTTTATGTACAATTTTATAATAATGACATATGCTTATATTATATCATGATTCTGTAGAATGATATTTTTCATAAAATTTTTCAGGTTATTCTTTTTATTTTTTGGTTTAATTTTGGATGAGTTGAATTTCCTTCTATGATGCTAGGCATTCGTTAATGTTTCAATTGGGATCTATGAAAATCCCATAGAATTTCTTTTATTTTTATTCAATTCAAGATAATGACAAGCAATACAATACTAACAAAATCCATCCTAAATATCGTTCATTTTCTAATTAATTTTCAGTGGCGTGTAAAAGACTATCAAGTAAATGTTCTACTGGTCGGCCTGATTCTTTAGCTTGTTGAACAGCATGAACAACAATACGTGCACGTTGTTCAGGTTTGAGAATTTTATCAAATTCATCAAGAGCTTTTTCACGACCTTCGGAAAGTTGTCGAAAACCTTCACGTATTTTTTGTAATAATTCTGCTTGTTTTGCAGTATCGTTACTCTCGACAGCTGCTTGCAATTGTGTAACAACTTCTCTACCAGCTTGACGACGAGCACTAAGTCGTTCAGCAGCACCATGAAACCATTCTTTGAACTAATACAAACAAAACAAAAACGAATTATTAAAATTGAATAACTAAAAATCTTACTTTTTGTTCTTCGTCGGCTGATAAATTTAAATTAGCTTTGACTTTCCAGCTGTCGACAATAGCATCAGTTCGAGCTTGGGTCATTTTTTTTTCTTAAATAATAATTATTCAAAATAAAATAAAACCATGACATATTCTACACTTACTTGTTTAAATATCAACTATTACAACAAGAATAAGAATAGGGTGCATACACTGAAATCTTTATGGTTTATATAGACTAATAAAAAGTAAAAGCAAACAGTATTCTTATCAATATTTTTGTACCAAGTTTGGTCTTACATCATAAAAAAAAAGAAAATGCGAAATTTGCTTAACAAAAAGTGATATGGTCATTATCTTTCTTCGTTCGAACCACGTCACCATATACAATATATTACTTATCAAAGCCAAACCCCTTGTATATTCTTTTCAAGATAAAATTATTCTCTTTTTGATATGATGCTGTGTGGTTGACACTAAGTAAATATAATACAAGTTTATTAGTTTAGTTCTTGAAATTTGACATTCATTTTCTATTTTGATAAAAAATATAAAGATCTTAACATTATCATGTCATTTATTTCGTGTATTCTTTTATTAAATAAATAAATAAATAAATAAATAAATAAACACAAATGCAAAATAGAAAGCACACATAGAGTCCGTTTTATCTTATGACTAGATTGTATAAGATCACGGAATAGAAAAAAAACCTAATGGAAAGAATGGATAGTTTCATATATTTCTATATTATTTATTATAACATAAATTCATGTTTATTTGATCCTAAATATTTGTGTAATAGTGTAGGATAATCAGTCATTACACCGGTGACACCCAATTGTTTAAAAGCATATTCAAATTCTTGTTCATTATTTAATATCCAAACATAGACCTACATACAAAAAATAATAATCAAAAACAAAAAATTAATTAAAAGTTGAACCTACAGGAATACCACGCCGTTGTAAATGTGCAAACATAGATCTATTATTTAATGCTCTAGATTTTTTTGAAAAGAAAGCAATATAAAAATTTATTTTAATAGAAATAATTACCGTTCAGCTAAGTAGAAAAGTATTTTCAATTTCCAATCTAAATTTTTTGTTATTTTTCTAAAAAAGCAGAAAAAAAAAGTTATTACAAAAGAAAAAACACAAAGCTTTCTTTCATACTCAAAAACTATACCAGGTACCGGTACTTCAAAAGCACCTATATGAAAAAAAGAAAAATTATGCAAAATTTGTTTTTTTTGTTTTTCTAAAAATTTTCATATCGTTTACCTGGTGTTAATGGTATAAAAGGTAATAAACCAGTCCAATATGCCATTACAATACCTGCTGCTTCTTTAAATGAACAAAATCGAACAATACGAGGATTCTACGATAAATAAGATTAATAAATAAAAACAAATACTAGAAAAATTATATCAAACTTGTGTAGTTAATTTTCGACATATTGTATGACTAAAACTACCCCAATAAGTAAGATGTTCTCGTCGATATTGTTGAATAAGATCAGAAACCTAAAAAATTTAAATTTCATAAGAATAATAAAATTAGCATATTCATTTCAAACTTAGATAGACTATTAGATTATATTTGTCTCAAATACGAACTATGCAACAAGACCTATTGAGTTCTATTATAGAACTTAGACAAGTATAATGTTACTTAATACTAATTATTAGTTTATACTAAAGAATTAAATATGAATTAGAATAAAGTTGATAAATTCGACAAAAACTTTATATTTAAAATCTAGACTATGTTGAAAAATGATAAGATCATATTTTTACCTGTCTAATAAGTTCATCATTATTTTCTTTAATATCAATATTAATTGGAGTTGTTGGATAACGTTCAAAAACATCTTTCAATAATGGGATACGTAATAAATCATTATTATCTGGATTATTATTATTATCACTTGATATAATTATATCTATAAAGATAATGGTTTTATTTTATGTTACAAGTAAATATTTTAATTCTTTACCTGAATCATAATAAAGTGCAATATTACCTCTAATCCTTGGTAATCTCTAGAAAAGAAATTATTTTTTTTTTGTATTTTTGCATGATTACTTATTTTTTTTTTTAATCCTACATCATATTCAATATCTCTAATAAATCCTATTTGACCAGTCGTTCTATTTAATGCAAAATCATGATGAACAATTGCTTGAGAATCTTTTGTTAAATGACAATCTAATTCAAGCATTTCCACTCCATTTGCTAATCCTCTATAAGTATAAACATTCAAGATAAAAATAAAAAGAATTTGTCTTTTTTTTTTTTTCTTTTCTAATTAATACTTGTCAAATGCAAGTAAAGAATTTTCAATTGATTCTGCAGCTCCTAATACAATAGAACAAACAATTCTTTTTTTTTAATAACAACAAAAAAAAAATTAATTAACAATTTATCAACCTCCTCGATGAGCAATATGTCGAACAACAAACGCAGTTTGACGTTTTCGATGGATCCACTGTGGTTTACGTAGGAAGACATATGAAGATATAGCATAAACGGTAGCAAACGTCGTACAAACCACAAATAGTGACATTTCAATTATCAAATGGAACTCGAATGATTCGATCTATCTATCAGTTTGCTATTTGATTGATTCATTCATAAAGCGACATCTATTTTCAATATTATTTTTAATTAAAAAATTATTTTTACAAAAAAATATTTTTATTATATTTTTATTTTTTTTTTAATTAAAAATTTTCATTTAATAAATAAATTAAAAATTCTTTAACCAATAAAAACTTCGACCATTGTTGTCATGGTGTCAATTATATATTCTATTGATAAAAATTGACTAATTAAATATATCATGTCTACCGACATACATAATGATGATGATCTAAATGATCAACATCATATTAATGATGTTGAATTACGTGAATTAGTATATCAATCACTTGAACGTGAAGGTTTAATAACACATTTAAAAGCACAATTACGTTCTGCTGTTTTTAAAACAATTGAAAAAGCATCATATCCTTCCGATAAATCAAATAAACCTGGTTATGAAGGTACAAATGGACAAATATGTCATGCACTTGTTCATGATTGGCTTGAACGTTCACGTTTATTATATACAAAAGATATACTTGAAGTTGAAACATCAGGTCCAAATTATCCATTACCATTAACATCTAATGAATTACTTGAACATTTACATCTTAATTCAATATTAAATACATCTCAACCAATTTTACATCATTTACTTAATAATAATCGAGTATGAAAAAAAGAAAATTAAATTAAATAAAATTTTATTTTTTTTCTTATTTTAGTCAAATAAAATAAATTCTCTTCCTGATCATATTAAACAATCGATTGATATGAAATTTCCAAATGAAAAAATAAATGATATAAATCGTGTACGAGAACATTTTCGTTCATTATTTTCATTTGCATTTGATTCAAATATACTTGATACATTTTTTAATAAAAATATTTCATTATCAACAACATCAATATCTAAAAGTGATTATGAACAAATTTGTCTAAAATGGATGCAAGCATGTGCTAAAGTTCTTACACCATCATCAACTCCTATTAAACAAACATCATCTACGTGAGTTATTTTTTTTTTCGTTCAAGAATTCTTGTTCTGATTATTGTCAATAATCAATGAAATTGTTATACGTGACGGTTCTCTCAAGAAAATTGAGTTTTAAATTTTGCAGTGACGTAGCCAGAAATTTTTGAGTCATAGGCAATTCATCAGCCGAACTATTTTGAGTTACAGGCAGCTAAAGGCAACCGTTATGATTTCAAAAATATCTATGGGCAATGGCTCCTACCCCTGTCTACGCCACTGAAATTTTGACTTAAAAATTTGCACAAGGACAGACTTAAGATCTATGTAATGTACACATTTCCTATTAAGGGAGCGACTTGAAAATATTTTCTCGTAATTGAACAGTTAACAAAATAACTATGAAAATTTAATTTATTTGTGCTCGTTTTTTTTTAAATTGTCCTTTAAATTCATATGGTACGGAGAAATTTTTACTTTGAGACTGATATACTTCATTGTTAAAATACGAAGGCATATCATTTTGTTTAACTACTTAATGAGTTCTCTTACTATTGAAAACGTTTTTCAAACATTAGCACTATGAACTCAAGAGGAAAAAGCAAGACTTCAGTATTTCGTTTTTTCAGCCATCAATAAAATAGTTTCGATTCTAATATTTTGTAGACATAGATATTTGATCTGAATGATGTTGAGTAAAAATTAAAGGAATATTAAGCAATGTTTTAGAAAACTCATGAAAATTGCTTGAATTATTCAAGAGTTATTGTATGCGTTCTTTTTATCTCACAAGAAGTTTGATACACTGATAGATTAATCTCGTGATAAGTGAGCCGGACATAAAGAACAAATTAAAGAAAACAGTTTTATGCATGTCGATCTTCTACTCACCCAAAACCTGATATTGACTTTATGTTTCACTTTATTAATTATTCTTTTATTAAAATAATACAATTTTAATCTTTCTCTTTTTGTTATTCAGTATACCAACACAATCATCATCATCACATAGTGTTGTTAATAATGGTCAAACAATAACTCGAGCTCATCGTTCAGCATCACCACCATCAGAATCACATTCGTCATCATCAGCTAGTTCATCATCAGAAAATCCACGAAAAGGTGGTTATGATTTTCAATTCCCAACAATAATGAATACAAATAAAAGTACTGTAAAAAAAAGTACGGATACTATTCCACCACCACCATTACTCAATTTTAATACGAATAGTACTGATGATAGTACAACATCGTCAATATTGTCTCAACGTAATGCAACACCAGCTGCATTAAATCATTTAAAAAATATTGAAGATATTGCTCGTGGTGATGAAACACCACGTACAAGAACAACAATACAAAAATTATCTAATAATATTCATAAAAATATTCCAGTTGAATATGAAGATGAAAGTATTAGTCAAAGTCAAATGAGTAGCATTGATGATATTACTGTTGATAAAGCATCATCATCTCTATCAGCTCATATTGATTATTTAGAAGATATATAAATATTTCGAAAATCTTATGAAATTTTTCATATCTATGATGTGTTCTATATTCGCTAATGAATTATTATAATAACCATTTCTTTTTTGTTGTGCCTTTAATTTAATGTAATTTTGTTAACAAATTGAATTAAAATTCATAGGAACTTTTGTTATACAAAGTGTTATTAAAATATATTTATGATTATGCAATAGAAAAATTGTTATTTTTTTGCTCTTGAAATCACTTAGAACAAAATCATGGCAACTATTTCATAAAGTATCATACAAACTTTTTTGTTTATGATTAATACAACTTCAAGCAAAGTATGAGAAAAAAGTTTTAACCACTGAGCATTGGTTGATTTTCAAAAATACATTGAACTATTTAAAAAGAAAAATCTGTTAGCATAATTATTATGAGATTAAAATGCTAATCGTAGCTCTAAATATTGAGTTAATATTTTCTTATTATACAGTGAAAGCCATCGATTATGTTGAATAAATTTATTATGCTTACAAAAATTTGACTAGATTTTAGACATTAATTTCGGTCTCAATAAAAGACTTTTCTCGACTACTTTTAACCCTCTAGTAGGACGTATGCTCTGCAGAACTTCTCATCATCATATTCAGAACTTGCAAGATCGATAAGAAAGTCATTGATCAGTAACCATCGTGAGATCATTTAATTATACACATGAGAAAAATAGCCCTTAAAGAGCTTTATTATTTTTAAATATTTTAGCAAAATAGCATGTGGATTTATGATCATAAGATGATAGCCTTAAAGATAACAAGGAACATTCAATATAGTATAAAAATTGTAATCATTTAAATATATGCATTTTAGCAAGAATGGCACTATCGATATCTCAATTGCAAAATTATATACGATGCACTTTCAATAAGTTAGACAATTGATTATCTACTTATTTGCAAAGTTCGAATTTGGAAATTGGATAAGAAAATCATTTAAAATAAAAGAGATTTTCGAAATTCTTTAATCTTAAAACAATAGAAAGAAAGCTATTCTTATAATAGAAAAGAAATTTCTTCTCAAACTAATAAAACATTTTAAATGTGTTAGGAAAAAAAAAAGAATTTTATTTTGCATTTCAATAGGTATTCATCATACCTACCGTGTATATGCTTGTTTTATTTAATCTCATAATGCTTGAATGATCTAATGTTTCAAAGATAGGTTTAACAGATTTTCTTTTCTTATGTTTGATATCATTCTTGAAAAATTTTGCATTAAAAAATTCCATCAATAATATCATATATTACTAAACAGATTTTTCATACCTTTCAGCACTTTTTTGATTCACAATGTTTTTGAGTTGAATAACATTAATCTATTATTTCATCACTCATATTATTGAAAATAATAGAATAGCTTTTCAACAGTATATTTGAAATGATTTAGAAATTCTTTTTTTTTTACAACCATTATCTAATATTATGCTGTAGTATTTCCCTTTACATAGAATGTCAATCTCAAAAGATGGCGTGTTGAATCATCAATTTTCTTTTATTCATAGTACAATTATTTGACTTGAAGCACTTATGATTATTTTATAATAAAACAGAAATCAGTTGGTATTTCTCTCAAACATATTTGATTAGTACGTCGCCAAACTTGTAAGATATGGCTTATATCTTCATCTATTCTAAATAGTATACGATATGTAAAATGCTAGTCGAAGAAAAAGAACAGAACACTTTACTATCGACTTCTCAAGTTCGTTGACATAGAACAGAAGAAAAAAGAGAAAAAAAAAAAAATTTCAACTTGGTGTATGAGCCAGGTGAAAGAACAGCAAGAAAAAAAAAAACGTGTAGGTCACTTTTGACTACTAGCTCGCACATACAAGTGCAGTCTTAGTTTCTTTAGATTTTATCTTGGTTGATGTCTGCACTTAATTAAAACAATTGGTCTTGTTTTTTACGATTATTTAGATAGATTTTGTATCGATATGTGCAATGCGTTTACTAACTCGTCATCTGTTATCTTTAATTCGTTCACGACGACGAACTTCTTGTTTATTTATCATTAGTATTTGTCTTAGTATAGCATTATTTTTATTTATTATTAATCATAAACAACAAACAAAAATTATTTTGAATGAAATCGTTACAATAGAAAATAGACAACTCAAATCATCAATTAATGTGACTACATCGGTTGAAAAAACTAGTCCAATTCAAAGGTATTTCTTCTTAATTTATAGGTTAATATATATATATAGAAATAATCATATACGTTTGGTATCTAATTGAATTTTATGAAATTGAATATTATCAAAAAAATTAATATTTGTTCTTTTTTTGTTTTTTAGAAAAAGTACATGGCCCGTGGATGAACAAGGTCGTTCATTAAAAACTAATTTCTTAGTTCTTGATTGGAATGGTTTTTTTGGTTCTGGAGCTAATGAAGGTGAAGTTGTTCAATGTCCATCATCAAATACAACATTTATGTGGACACATCAACAAAATCGAATTGATGAAGTTGATTTTATTATTTCACATGATGCTCAAGCCGGTGGAAATCTTCCATTTGATCGTTTACAACTTAATAATGATCAACAACAATATACAATGGCATTTATTATGGAAAGTGAAGTACATTCATCGACAGGTGATAATTGGTCAAGATTTAATTTTAAAATGACATATAATCTTGATGATAGTTATCCTGAACCAGCAACTTATTTTGATATAAATACATTTATAATTGATTTACTGACACCACCAGCCATATCTTTTGAAAATAAAGAACAACAAGCGGATATTGTTTGGATTATTTCAAATTGTAATGTAAGAAGATACTATCGGATTTATTATGCTTTTTTTTAGAGTAGTATATAAGAATGACAATTATAAGTTTCTCGATGATCTACGACTACAGAAAAGAATATATGTCGGCTTTGAGAAATAGACTTCCTCATCATCAAAATGAATACTGTGTAGCTTTGATATAACGTCAATAGATGGCGTTAGATTCATTGTGACCAGTGTACAATGCAACAAAAGTGATGTTATCTATTGACATGTCCATATTACCTAGTAGATCTTAAGAATGTATACAATATTTGATGGAGGAAATCTTCTTCTATAATCGTATATATATGCTGTTCTATAATCAAAATACAAAAAAAAACTGTTGTCCTAAATGGTCATTTTACACCATCAAGTTAAATTATTATTTTTATTCTTTGATTTCTTCTTGATTTTCATTCCGTTCATTTGATGTTGAAAGGCATAATGATGAAAGCATGTGATATTTTCTATGAATTATCTCTAGAAATTTTCTTAAGTACTAGTACAGGAGATACTACACGGAAAAATGCGAGTATATCTACATTCAATATCTTCTATATTTCATTAATTAATTGAGTTTTCGAAGAAATATTGAAAAAAAATATCTAATCTAAAATTTTAGGCTCACAATGGTCGAGAAGGTTTTGTTCAACGATTAATGCAAGAAATAAAAATTGATTCATATGGATCATGTTTAAATAATCGTCATGGTTATGGAGCACGTATGGCTGATAATATTGATGCATATAAAAAATATAAATTTGTAATAGCTATTGAAAATTCTAATTGTATTGATTATGTTACAGAAAAATTAGTTAAAGCAGTAGCATCTGGTTCTATACCTATTGTTGCTGGTTATAATGTTCGTCCAGATTATCAACGCTATATGCCTGAACATTCATTTATAAATATATTTAATTATTCATCAATAAAAGATCTTGCTAATGATTTAAAACGTATTGGAAATAATAAAACATTATATGAATCATATTTATGGTATAAAAAACATGATAAAGATGTATCAAAATTAAAAGAACTTTCATTAAATGATAAATTAAAACATTTGATTGATGTTATTGGTTCAAATGCAACAATTATTACAGATGGAATTGTTGGAAAAGAAAAAAGTGAAAATAAAATTTGTAAACTTATTCGATTTGTTCGTCAAACATCTTGGCAAGAGATTGCTGCACATAAAAAAACAGCAAGAGCTGGCTCGGAAACTTCTTGTTTACCAGGCAAATATATATTGAATCATTTTAGTTCAATGCATACTTAATAATGTTCAACTTCTATAGAACTTCAATATTTCATACTTCTTGATTATGTGAAATGTTACCTTTTTCTTTTTTTTCTTTTTGTGATAATATTTATTTTTGTTTTCTTTTTTTTTTTTATAGAAAAATTGTTTGCTACTATAAATTTTCTAGTCTAAATGTTGAGAAAATATAACCGTGCATGCAAAATTTTGATTCTTGTATCTACCAAGAAGATTTTCTTTGTTGATTACGACGGGACTAACTTCTTTGAAGAGTAATCTTAAATATCAGTAGTTGTTAGGTGTTTCACCATGTAAGATAAGTTAAACGGTTCGAAACTCTGACTCCTATCAGATAGTCAACAAAAAAGTCAACAACATAAGTCTTCTATCGTCTCGAAAGGGAGCTGTTTTTTTCGAGATGTCTTCCAACTTTTATTATGAAACATGAACTAAAAGAAGTGCTCGATTATATAGAATAGAAATTTGCATCTTCTCCCTAACGACAGACAAACTCAACAGATATGTTGAAATGGCTCGGTACAGACGCTGTAGAAGCATTTTCTCTCTCTGTGTCACAGATCGTAACAGGTTCTATTGATATTTCATTTAAAATCTGTATATAAATAGCGTCTCATTATAATATATGAGCTACTTTCTTATTTCACTTTTGGAGAGTTAAGTGGAAAGATCATGAAGAACTGTGGCAACAGCAACTACATTATGTTTTACATTTTAATCCAACACAGATTGCGCTAACAGCGTTTTATCAAGGATCAAAAGCCACCTAGTATATACAAAATTCATTTTGGTGGTATATTTTCCTGTCAAAAAACTGCTAGCAATCATACTTTCGAATATCGATTGTTATGAATTCATAAATTATGACTTTTTTTTTACTCATGTTAGACTGTACAATTCTAGTAAATAAATGATGAACAACAATTTAAATATACAATTTTTTTGCGATTTTAATGTTTTTTTTTCTTTTAGTGAATTACATGGAAAATTTGTTTGATTCGTTGAACAGTAATCGTAGTGAAGATGGTTGGGTCGATTCAAGACTCTTTTCTTAGTAGAAAGTAGGTAGATAGTACAGAAAAGTCGATACAAGTCAACTTTTCTATTAAACATTTTCATGAGCTAAAAGTTGAAAATAATGATTTCAAGGGACGTTCTTTCGAAAGTGTTTTAAAAATCGAAAATATATAATCCTTCATACTCTCATATTAGCGAAAAGAAATATAGTAGATTATATTCATAACTTCACTTAATACTCTAGTTTGTTTTGGTAAATATTACTGTTTTTTCACTTGATCAAACTCCGTTAATACACGTACGATACTTTGATGTCAAGAGGTTTCGTTAATTTCCTTAATTTTCTTATCGGCTATTGCTTAAGAACACTACAATAATAATAATAATATGATCTTTGTTATTTCGTCATGTTCATCGATATCGTTTATGCATGAAGAAATCAATTATGAAACTCGAAATGAAACAAATTGTCTGTATTATAAATTCATAGTTCAACAAAGAAAAAGAATACAAATCAAGCATGAAATTCTAGAAAAGGAAAGTGTATTGAATTCTCCGTATAATAGTTTATTGCTCATTATTTGTAGTATCGATTAGTCTTCGAACGACGAGGTCGTCTTATAAATATTTCGTAAAAAAAACGTCCATCTATTTAATTTTGCGCATATATATTACATATAAAAACTACGAATGTGAGACAAACAGTATTCTTTTATTCAATTATTTAAAACAACAAAAACTATACATGCATACAATGCTTTTTTTCTTATATTTTCTTACTACCTGACAGACATAACATGCAATTCGAATTGAATATTTTCTTTTTAACATACAATACAACTAAAACATCTGTTTGAATTCAAATGCTTGTTGTTGCCTGAAAAATTGTTTAGCTTTTCAATTATTAAAAAATAATATTTGCTTTTGACACATACATTCTGTTGCCACTTAATTTGCCATTCATTATTGAATGAAAAAGGTTTAAAAGCATACTAACATTTCATTCACTACACAGTACAAACTTTTTCATTTCAGTCTTTCATTACGATTTGCAATAGATGACGATCAGCAGATTTATTTTCGTCTGTCTATTTCTACGAGTTTCTGTTGTACATACTTCTCATTTTCGTGGTGGTACTATTACGTGGTTAGTATCTCACAATCTTTCATTTACTTTCTGAAAAGTAACTATTTTTTAGGCGACCTCTCAATAATACCCCGTCGGGTAGTACCGTTGATATTCAAATACGTCAACGATATTCATGGCGTCGTTCATCTATCATGTGCACCGACACAACCATTGCTAACTTAGGGCTTGTTGGAGATAATAGCCCTGTTAATTGTGTGTCTGGTACTTGTTCTTCTTGGAGCAGTATGAACACACAAACATACTGCACTGATTATAGTGTTGGTCTCGATGTTACTTCTGGTGAAAAATATGTCACAAAAACAATAGCAATCGGTATTCCATTCAGTATTGCTTTTGTCTCAGCTGCTTGGTTTGCAAATCTTGTTATTGGAGCTAACTCAGGATGGAATCTTGTCAATCGAATAAATACTGTCGTTAGACCTGATGGATATATAAATTCAAGTCCTATTGCTACTACTCTTCCTGTTATCTACAAAGCTACCAATCAACAACATGTGCATGTTGTTCAAATATCTGATTTTGATGGAACTGATGATTTAAAATGTCGTTGGTCTACTTCGTCAACAAGTAATTATAATTCATACAATGAATGTGGCGGTGTTTGTTCAGGTGTACCTGGCGCTGTTCTTTTTAGTAATAATTGTACATTAGTATTTACACTTACACAAGCTTCAGTATACGTTGCAGTAGCTTTACAAATTGAAGACTATTATGATAGTACATCAACAACACCAATGAGCTCTGTTCCACTTCAATTTCTTTTTTACGGCTATGCTGTACCCAGTGGTTGTAGTACTCCACCAAGTATCATTGGTAATCGACCAAATCGAGGTAAGTAAGGCTCTTAATCGAAAATTTCTTCCACCAACTATAATTTAATTTATGTTAAGCCTGCATTGGTACGCCAATTGGATCCAATGTTACTGAATATGTTATCGCAGAAGTTGGCTGTACTGGCAAAACTATAATCGATTTCACTTCTAGTTCTCCAGTTGGTATGAAAAAGAGTGTTATTGAAAATCCAAGTACTGGTTAGTATATCTAACGTGTGTTGCTTTTGTTTGTTTAATGTTTTGATTATAGGTATCTATCAAATTGTCCTCAGTTGGATTCCTACACCTGATCAATATGGTCCACAAGGCTTTTGTGCAGGAGCTGTTGATAGCACAAATGTTCAATCAGAACAATGGTGTATTACATTTTTAGTTGGTTTTGAATCACCTAGTATTATTCGGCCAAGTGCTGTTCAAGGTTCAGCTTCACCAATCGGCACCATATTTCAGAGTCACACGATTTTTTCAATTCAAAGTAATTCTGATGATAGTAAAAATAAAAGACAGATTTTTGTAAAGTATTTTGTCTCTTGATTTTTATGTCAAAGTTTTTCAAAAAAAACTAGAACAAGCTAATTGATGTATATAAGATACTTGTTAAGTTTAGCTACTTTTCTAAAAATCTATGATCGATTCTTCAATAATTGAAAGAGATTAAATAATAAAAAATTCTATCAAAACAATATCGAATCACTTCCTCCTAATAACATTTATGTGAAGTTTAAAATATTGTATCCAATTGTGTTTATATTGCTTTTCAGCTACACGTTCAGTCAGTCGACCAACACGAAATGGTACTTACATTCACTTTAAAGATTCTACTACAAATACAATTGTTCAATCATATGATTGTGGTTGGCAACCAGAAGTAACATATACTGGATTTACAATTGTTATTCGTTTTCCAACTGCACCATGGATTGTAGGACATTCGTATTATGTTATGTTTGATAGTGGTATGAGCTTTTATCTCTTGAATTTTGTCTTTAGAATGGCATATCCTTATTATTCATTTTAGGTGTAGCCAGTGGAACTGAATTTTGTGGTAAGTAGAATAGACAAACAAACTATTAAACGGATAACATAAATAAAATGAAATCATCGAAGGTCCTGAATCTGCACCAATAACAGATCCTTCATTTTGGGTTTTTAACATTTGGGATCCAGGACATTCATCTACAACAACAACGACAACTACTCCACCAACAACAAGAACAATTACAACAAGACCTGTGTCAACTACAAGTGTCAATACTCTAGTAAGTTCATCGATCTCTTATTCATGTGATCATTGTATACTGTTGATAGCTGACAACAACGGGTATTGTAATAACAAGTACATCTTCTCGTTCTACGAGAACTACAACTAGCTCAACTTCTACGTCATCAAGTAAGAGAAATTTTCATTTTCATTTGCATAAAACAAATCAATTGAAGTAGATTTGTAGTAAATATGTCATATATATGACTTTAGTATTTCTTGTTCTACAACTATATGTACTTTGATTACCTAACGAAAACACTTTTGAAGATATAGTTTTCGTTAACAAGAGAACAATAAAGTTTCATGTGATTTGTTTTAGCATCAACAACAACGCTTACAACTACAACAACTACAACTTCAGGACCAACTGTTAATGTTATGTATCCCAAAGATCTGGTAAGTTTCAAATTGACTCTGATTTATTTCTTTAGAATATCATTTAGATGATAGGTAAAATTGAATTTGAGATAAATATAAAATTAGGCAGATTTCGTTTTTATTTAGGCGCAAAGTTACGAAATAATTTTGTATTAAGAAAAAATTCTCATTTTCATTTTCCTGGGAAAAACGTAACGGTCATTTGTGTTTGTCTTAGTCAATAGAGTATTGATTTTCCCTATTCATGTTCCAAAGTATGACTAAAAGATTTCTACATTGACACCAGAAAAAGATGTTCGAAGATATTTTTATAAACAAACAAATCTACATCTTTAACATAATGTTAAAGATTCTTTCTTGCCTAAAGTCGGCATATGTGCCAAGACAAACAGTCACGATCTCTATAACTTCTTAGATTCAATTAGATTTCAAATGAAAATAAGAATAACTATATATGTATACATATATAGATTTTAAAAACTCTGTTTAGTTTTGCCTAAATCTTAACTTATCTATATAAATATATGTTGTAGGAAAAAGCATGTCAACAACCAGTGATAATTATGAATGTTCTTTCCATGGCTGCCATGATTCCTGTACAAGCTGCAGGAATGTTTGTTGCTTTCTCACAATTTGCCACTATCTTTAATCCATCACATACTCAAGCAAAATTAAGACATGCACAACGAATGAAAAAACTTTATCAACATTAAAGAACTTTTTTTTCTTTTTTGAACATTTGAAATTCTTTGTTTTTCCCACTGTCTAAAAGCTTATGATTTTCTGAATAATAACCAAGTGAAGCGAGCTATTATATATTTGCAGTAGTTCTTTCCCTGCTTCATTTTAAAATAACCATCTTGCATTACAAGGTTTTTTTTTACAGCCTAATATTATATATTCAACTGAAAGTTTGAATTACATGTGATTCTTTCGTGTTGAAATAAAATGTATCATAATGACCGAAAATTTTGAATTGATCTTTTAGTTTATAATATGAATGGCAGGCATATCTTCAAATCATAGAATTTAATTTTACGTAATTTTTCTAAAAAATTACATTGATATTTTTAAAAAAGCAAAAAAAAGCAGAACATCTTCAGAGAAAAAAAAAATCTATTCTTTGATCCATTGCTTAATTAGTTCGACATGTATCCTGCTAAATTTCTTGCAAAAAAATGCTGTATTTAGTTTTCATAATTTTTCATACATAATCTGTCATCTATCTTAAAGATGCCAATACTACAAGTACAATTGTTCGACTTTATAGTTGTGGTTAAGTATGAAAACTAGCATACACTGGTTATAAAGCTATCATTTGTTTTTCCCTACGCCATCGGTCAGGAGAGGGTGTGGGTGGTGTGGCTGTAGATATGAATGTACGTCTGGTCGAACTGAAGACTCGCCCACACCCACTCAACCCCACCCACAGCCCGATCCACACCCTAAGCCAAAGGCTATCTTTCAAAAAAATAAGCATTATAATTGTCACTGCCTTGAATTCTCGTCAAGAACAATTGCTTTTCCAAATATTTTAGAAATATTATTTTGATCAAAATTTAATAAAAAAAAATAAAAATCATATTCAATCAATAAAAAAGAAATATTTTTTCTCATAAGAATTTTCCTTATATCAATTGATACTATGACTTTTTTTCTGATAAATTCTTGGAATTATAATTTATTCTCTAGGAAGA